ATCTTGCACCGTGGTCACCACCTGTCGCATGACCGAGAGTTCGTGGCTTGAGCAACTTGAATGTAGCCACTTCAGCGATTACTTAGAAATCACTACACCACACATGCGCAGTGCCAACAGCAGCTGAGACTGCAGAGGCGATATTGGACTGGCTCAGTCGTTACGGAGCACCTCGTGTGTGGATAAGTGACCAAGGCAGTCATTTCAAAAACCAAGTTGTGGCTGAAGTGGCAAGGCGCCTTACTAGTGGACAGAGGTTTACGGTGGCGTATAGCCCATGGACAAATGGATCAATCGAGAGGCTCAATAGGGACTTAGTGCAGGTCTTTAGAGCCATGTGTTTCGAGGCAAAGGTGGACATTCGTGATTGGCCACATTTCATACCAGTGGTACAGTCGAATCTGAACCATACCCAGGTCCCGTCTCTTGGGAACAAGGCACCAGTGGAGCTTTTATGTGTTCTACCTGCTGCTTCTCCACTAGACTTCGGTTCAACACCCAAGACAACCCTTTTCTTGAGCTAGGGACGACCTCCAGCCAGATCAAGAAGAAGTTAGCCTTGCTGCAAGCTAGGGTGCAAGAGATGCACAAGGTTGTACAAGAAGCAAGGGCGAACCAATCGAAACGGAATCAGAAGGCACAGAGAACAGCTAGGAAGGCTAACTTCGATGTTGGTGAACAACGTGTTGAGGTCAAGGGTGGACCAAAAACACAACAACAAGTTACTCGTTACATGGATAGGCTCGAACCAGGTTATTGATACAGACGAACACTCCTTTTGTGTACAGCACTTATTGACTGGAGTGAAAGCAGACGTGCACGCCTCACGCCTCAAGGTCTACGCAGATGCGTCTGTTGGAGTAACAGAGGAGATCCGAGAGCACGTGGCTGCTCAAGGAATCGTCCTTACGGTTGCGGAACTCAAAGAGCATCGGTGGAACTCGGCGAAGAAGTGTCACGAGATACTGGTAGGGTGGAAAGGTCTGGAGCCAATTGAGGACTCGTGGGAGTCGCTCAGTTCATTGTACAAGGATATACCAGTGATGGTGAAGCAGTACATAGCTGCATCAAGTGATGTTGAGCTTACTGTAACATTGGAGCAACTTTAGAGCTTCAACTTGAAGAGGCTATGTTGCTTGATCAAGGTACCATGAATTTGGTACATCGGAATATTCGAGCAACATCCAAGGCTCGGCGGCATCAAAGTGTGCGGTCAAGTCTTGGTGAGGCAGTGTAGTGGGGCGACGGTCTTCAGGACCTGACCACGCACTGTGCTGGTGGCCGAGGACGGTCCCAGCAGGAACTGGCGTAGAATAAGACTCAGGGATGGGACGACTCGACGCAGATACTTAGGCAGTGATGTAGGAGTAGCTGACGAGAGTCTCAACTATCTCATTTTGGATTTTGCAAAGTACAATACAAGCAAGAGTTCAAAGGAAGCACCAGCTTCTCTCGCAAGTGTGTTCATTCGGATCCCACTACAACCTACTGAAATTTTGAGGACGCTATTTTGATATGATGCTCCAATTGTATTGACCGACTGCTGGCTTGTTGCAAGAACCGGCCAATCGCAGCACGTCTATAGGCTCCAATAGTGATAACTGGAAAAAGCACCGCGACAAAAGTTATGGACACTAGTTTATTTTGGGATTGTGTGGGAGGAGAGTGAAGGTAACTATGTATCCACTGGTATGGTAAGGCCACTTCTGGTTGAGAAAGTAAACTGAATTCTGAAGGCTTACAGAGCCTACCAGCGCGCTGCTGCCGCTGCTTATCTACTCACGACCCTGTTGGGCGTCTTGGAGCTCTTAGTCCTGCTACTGCGTCGCCACTCTCCGTCGACGCCGTTGCCTTCACCACATGCACTGGATCCACAGCACTTCGGTGTATCCAGGTACGCAAGCTGCCTGATCGACGTCAGGCAGCGAATATCCATGCAGACGCTCGAACTTGCAGCCATCCTTGTCCTTCTGTGGCTCGAAGTGGCCACGCGCCATGTATCCGGCACGTACTTGGTCACGACGCCACACTTCATCACCACATCCTGTTCGGCGGCTTCACGCGCCCACACGTTGCGATCCCAACGCGCTTGCTCGCCACGCAGCCTCCTCCCTCTTCGCTTCTCGCCTCTTTGTTCCAACTGACCCTTTCGACTTTGATATCAGGTTTCAGAGTCAACGTCACCACAACTGGCTCTCATACAGCATTTGTATGGGGAGGAGGACAAGCTTTCCGACGAGGAGCGCAAGAGGATCAAGGGTCTAGCCGAGGGTGGCTTTTCGGGGCGTGAGATCGCTCGGCGCGTGAGGCGCTCTCCTCAAGGCGTTGCAAACGTACTGAGCAAGGATGTCGAGAAACAAATTTTGCATTATTTTAATGGTTAGGGGCAATAATCTTGCCAGTCAAGCACGGAAGTACGGCAATGGAAAACGCCGTTTTTCTGACCTTAAGCTCAACGTGAGTAAACAGCAACACGTAAAAGGCGAACACTTGAAAAATTTGCCACAAACCCAACACACAGGCCCCATGCCAACAAATTAACCTAAATGGTCACTCTCTTACTACAAAACTACGGTTTGAGAGAGTACGATACTCAAATAGCCAACATTGGGTACTTTACGGTTTCCACATGAAACATGGCTCAAGAAATATGTACGGGGAGTTGTGCATACACCTAAATTTGCGATTACGTCGATATGGCTTGGGATTAACAATTGATTAAAAGTTTGAAAACATTTTATGAGTTTTTTTTTTTTTTTTTGGGGGGGGTCCCTTCAGTGAAGTGAGGGGCTCCCTTCGCTCTGTGCGTCTGCGAGGCGCATCCGCGAAGTGCACGCTGCACTATCGTCAATCCGCGTAGCCTTGACATCTTTAATAGCATCCAGGCTAAGTCTAGAAGCTTGTCAGCTTGTACAAGCTGATCGTACGCAACAAACTCTGCTCGTCTGTCAACTAAGGTAGATTAATGTTAAGTTAATACCTGACAACTCGTGCGTATTTACAGCAATTGCGGCTTTTACAGAGCCGCTGATAGCCATTCATCATTCAGCTTATCACTCCTGTCCTGTCAAGTGTTCACATACCCCACAATTGAACCGATTGCAGTCCCGATAGCAGATAAATCTGTGCAATCTGTTGCAATCAACGATGGATCCTCAATGCTCTGCAACGTTGATTAAGAAGTGTTAGATACAATGCACGTCAAAAGTATAGCATTCCAAAATTGTCAGATGGCGAGAAGTTTAACCTATTACAGTACAATAGTTTTAATATTTAAAAATTAAAAAAGCATGTCGCATCAATCTCAAATAGAAATTGAACGAAGGATCAGACGACAATTGCTCCTGGCCCAATTAATGTTGGTGAGGCTGTCCACCCAGCTTCTAGCTGACCTTCCCGGACGCGCGCCTTTTGCAGCAGTCCGCGGTGTAGCTCCCTTCAATTCGGCGGAGAGCATCGATAAATAGACGTTAGTTTTTTTGTGCTCACAAAAGGCGATGCTGTCGTTGCGCCACTGCCACGAGACGGATGAACCCCTCGTTGATGTATTCGATCGCGAATACGAACAAGTAGACGGCTCCGACGAACACGACCGTGAAGAGAATTCCCGACAGAACACACTGCTGCAGCGTTCTAGGCTCTGGCTCCTCATCTTTTGGGTTTTCCTCGTTGCAGATTATCACTGTTACTTCGTTCGACGATGAAGGCAGAGGCATCACTTGAGTCGCCATTCTGATTGAAGGACGAAGAGCCTGTTGAGACGTGAGCTGAAATTGGTGAATTCGAAAGTGAGCAACGAGAAATGGAAGACTTCCGGACCTTCATGATGTCCACCACGATCCGATGCATAAACTGTATACAAATGTACTAACGCACCCACACCATCATCAGGAGAATTAAATGGACTCGACGGTTGATGGTACACATGCTCGTGAACGAGATGACAGCTTTAAGCGCAGTGTGACAGCTTTATTATCCTCCATTCGACGAGATGGCTAATGAACCCACTAATAAGTGCTTCACGTCCTCGCTTTCTGCGTGAGAATGAGATTCCATCCCGTGTTGCTCATTCTCCGACTAGAACTGTATCCCAGTTTTCTTGAGCAAGATGGACGCAAATGGGACTTGACCCGTGCTCTGACGTCATGCATGGTTCTAGAGGCCTTGCTGTTTCATCCGACAACGTGTTGTTCGCTCTAACATGACCTGGCCAGCTCCAGTTATAATTCATCGACACTATGGTAAGGTAGCAGCAAGCTGAAAAACGTGTCGTCCTCAACAGCATGCGTGTACTAATTAAGTTAGTACTACACTTATAAACAACTAATGGGTTATTAATCGAATCGTGTTGATCACTAGAAAGTGTTGCTCATCAATATCTCCAACAAGACTAAGACGATGCCCGGCTCACGATGAGCAGCAACGGTATGAATTTAAGAGCCCTCGTAGTGTGTTTCTCAGACGAAGTTACCATTAACGAGAATCGTTCAAAGTTTTATACTACAACCCAAGCAACAGGAGAGGAGAGTCCGGCGTAGATGAAACTGAAAGTTGCGATGGCAAAATCAAGGTTACATGTTTAAATACGTTAACTACGGGAGGGTCTGACATTGACGATGGTAGCTGGGCTGTTAATGGCGTTGAGTGTCTTCAGGATTCCCATCATTGGCGAGTGAGAACCAGCAAGAGCGTGAACATGTCTCCGAAGAATGTGACGGCAGCCACGCAGCCGTAGAGGAATCCGCACGATGTCAACGTGTACATGAGGCCCAGGAATAGCTTGTACGTGAGACTGGGGCGCTGATCCACGAGCTCCGTCTTGTTCACGTTGTCGTCCTTGGACGGGAAGACCACAACCGTCACTTCGTCTGAAGCCAAAGGAGCAATCTGAGCCATGGTTACTATTTACTGGGGTTGAAGTGAGCTGAAGCGGGCGAATTCGTGAGTGAGGGAGGACCTGGTCGATCTCAACAGGGGTCATAAGCAGAGAGACAGGCGATGATGGTCTCGGCACATAATGTCCACTTAACTTGAGTATAGACCATCCTGTGACGCACGGCCTGGGCTGATGTGTTGGCGGTGCCAAAACGGATGGAAAACACTGCAAACCTGTCAAACCTGAGATAAGATTCACTAAGATTTCTGCTAATTTGCTTTATGCTGTACATGACGTTTAATTCCTAACGTGTTTTTTTATCCTATCCTATCATACATGACTTAAGCTGTACATTCAGGATAAGAGGTCCGGATAAGGGAAGACGGCACTTGAGAGGTGGTCGGGCATGGTCGAGTGCTTAATGGGGGACGTGACAGTGGACGGAGACGACGGCGCTTTGCTGGTTTGGCGACGGATCTGCGCGTGCAGGTGCTGGAACTGCTGACGCGCGCGGAAGGCGTTGGCCTGCATTTGCTGCATAGCGTACAGCTCCTGGATCTGCACGGCGTAGCTGGCGTGCAGCTGTTGCAGTTTAGCCGCGAGCTGCTTCTTATGCCGTCGCTTAAGCTGCTTGCGCTTAAGATAGTCGTGCGCCACATTCCGACGCCAGTTCATGCCCGTCGAACTCGATCTCTTCGCGTGCGACGCACAGCAGTCCGGATGCTTGTAGATCCGCTCGCGTTCTGCTAGGAAATTCATCTTAAGCCGCTCGTTCTGGTGCGAAAACTGCATAAGCAGGTTAGTCTGTTCGGTAGCCGCTGCAGTACAATCCGCCTCAACGTCGTCCATCATCGTGACGTCAGTACTGCTCGCTGAAGTCGAAGCGTACTGGTACATGGTCGCAGCCAAGAGAGAGCCGTTGTCACTAAGGAACGGCACAGACACGAACTCTGGCTCGTACTGTTCCAGCTGCTCCAGTTCCTCGTCCAATTCGTCTTTCTCAAGCTCCACTTGGTTCTCTTCCTCAATCTGTGGCTCTTCAGACGCAGCTTGTTCCTGCGATTTCTTCCGGCCACGCTTAGTAACTTTAGCTGCAGGCTTGTTGATCGGTTTGGTGTCTTCAGTGCTGTCGATGTCGGCGAATAGAGCTTGCGCCTTTATCCTGTGTATGGCCTTCTTAGCGGCATTCTTCGTCTGGGTAGCGGTCGAGCTGAGCTGCGTCAACAACGCCGCTGCATCCGTGAGTTCTTCCTGGTTGTCCGTCCTGGGCGGAGTCCACTGCAGCTCCTTTAACGCCAGCAGCTGTCTCTCCGCTCTAGATAACTTGGCCTGCTCGGGAGTGTTGGGGTTCGAAGAGCCTGAACACGACGAGATCGACACCACCGGCGACGCTGTGCTAGTTGACGCTGTGCTAGTTGACGTCTTGCTGCGCTTCGGAGTCGTTATCCTGTCGCTGGGCTTCTCCTGTTCAGTAACCTGCTTCAGCTTGGGCTTCTTCTGCAACGTCTTCCTCTTCTCTCCAGCCTCCTTCGACGCCTTCTCACTCTCCAGTCGACTGCGCTTAACCTTGCGTCCTGTATCCTGAGGCTTCGTACGCTTCTGAAGCCGTTGCTTGTCCTTCTCATCGTCCGAGTCGCTGTCGCTATCGGAGCTTGCGCCGAGATCCCGCATCACATTCCTTAGGTCGCTCTTCACCTGTGAGTACTCCTTATCCTGTTGGTTACGGTGTAAGAAGGCGTCTAAGCTGCGTACAAGAAGCTGGTCCTGATTCGCAGCCACCACCATCCACTTGTCCTTCTCCGTCTCTGGAAGAGGAAGCACCGCCAATAACCCGCTCGTATTCACTCGTGTAAGGTCCGAAAACTGCGCTTGGAAGTCCAGCGACGGGTCCACAAAGAACTTCTCGTAGCCTTCGATATAGTCCAGAGGCGTAGCGATCCCAGTCTCCTTCTTGGGCTGATGGAAGAACACACTGCCGTCGCTGCACATACCCACCGTAAACGGCGCCTTATCCTGTCCAGCCACTTTACTCACAGTGCGCATATGACGCTGCGTGTCTTCAGTACGTCGACGGCTTCCACGCGGGTTCCACGCACGCAATGAATTCGCGTTCCTAGACGTGAGTAAAGCTTCACGTTGGGCTCGTTGTTCCTTGGCAGACAGCGGCAAGTCCAGATCCATACGACTAGCAGACTGGAGATCAATGACTGCAAGAGATTCGCTGCCTCCGTACGCGTAGTCTCCATACACAGCCACCGTATCGACCGTCTGCTTCACATCCGTGTGTGATTTCTTACGGATCGTCACCGAGTTCTTAGCAGCGTCATAGTCTTCTTCCAAGTGCCAGATACGCACATTCTGGTGCTCCGACTTGGAGATAAACTGGTTAATTACGGTAGGATGGAACGTGATGAACTCCAGCGAGATCCCGTTGGTCTGCTTGTCGAACACACACTCCCAACTCCACTGCAAGTCTCGGGTCTGGTAGAATCGCCACATGTGCACGTTCTTGATGCCGATACCGCATAATAACCGGTATTCCGTCTTTTTGCTGCCTTTATGGTAGAAACTCCTGGCTGCTGCGAAGCCCTTGAGCTTAGCGTCCGAATACGTGTGCGAAATGGACTTGGCAGACGGTAACCCGAAGGCATTGGCCGCTTCCTCGTCTCCACTGTCGTCGCTGTCGTTTGCAGTTAATACCTGAGTGTTATTTGACTGCTGCATGTCGTTAGGAGACGGGAGAGTGATGCTGTCCACTTCGAACGCTCGAATCTCCGTTGAACCGCGGTATACTCCAGCGAAGATGAATTTGCCGTCTTCCGGGATGGATACAGTCACCATTATCTGAGTATACATGCCTCGAGGCATGATTTGGTCCAATAGGACGCCACGACGGAAGACTAGAGAGTCCTTGGTTAAAGGATACAGATAGACCATGCCGTTGTAGAAGCCTACGACCAAAAACTTGCCGTTCGGAGCCACAGCGACGGAGGAGACGGTGGAGGAGACGGAGAACTGGTACTCGAGGCCCAAAGGAGGCATAGACGCGCAGCTGGCTGTGGATAGAGCGGGACTTTGAGATAGAGACTCTCTAACGACACGCATGTTGCCGATAGTGGCGGCGTCGAAGGTTACTTCGGCCTCGTCACTGGAGTAACCTTCATCCTCGGAGCTGGAAGAGGAGCTACTGCTCTCTACAGGCTCCTCTTGCGTCTTCTTCTTGTCGCTGATGTGTTTGACTGGAGTAGGGAACTCTAACTTCCTGGTAGGATCGTGGGACGCCGGCTTGTCGGTGCTTGTCCGGTTGGAAATGTCCTCGAGCACACGTGCGGCCTTGGAGAGGCTCTTCTTGTGTTTGATCTTGAGGCTGAGCTTTTTGCTTTTCTTATCCTGTGTCTTAAGCTGTGTGGATGGCGTAGAGAGGCCGTGGACACGCTTGACAGACTTGAGCTTACGTGTCGGCTGGCCGCTCAGTGTGAGCTTGTTCTGCGGCTTCTGTGCCGGCTCTGGCGACAGGAAAGAGGGCGACGCGAACGTCTTGCTCGGCTCTTTCTTGCTGTCAGCAGTGATGCTGCTGCTTTTGGCCGGCGTGGAAGCTGCAATGAGGGCAGCGAGGCCGTTGCCGGATGAATTGGACGAGCTCATGTTCGGCAAGATTTCTCCGGCTGTAGAGACACGTGGATGATCGTGGAGGTCAGGAACTGCAGTCAATACACGACGGCAGACGATGTACTACAAGCCGTCGCACACGCGCGGGGGGAGGGGGGTGAAGGGCAGGGAGGTTGCGTACGAGAGGAGTGCCCGGTGAGCCGGTAGCGTCTTGCGAAATGAAGACGAATGCGCGCGCAAAGTGCGCGCCAAAACAGCATCGTGTGGTCCACTGTAAAATCAGCTTTAATCAGATTTTATTTCGTGTATGATTGGCTGATATCACAAAGATTTCTGTCCAATTGCGTGTCGAGTATCAATGGCTGGGTGATAGACCCCAAGTGACCCACTATCAGCCATGGCGGACGCTCGATCTCCCGTGCTGGAACCGGGCGCCGACCTTAAGCACCTCGGTACGCTACTACACTCCCTCTACATACACTCACACTTTCTAACCCTCTACTCCTCCTTACAGAGTCCATGCTGGACGACAAGAACCAGAAGAAGCGCAATAAGAGCAAGAAGTTCGACGAACCTTACGAGTACGTCGCGTAGTACTTAACAGTACTATACTATTTTCCTAACCAATACTATCCAGAGGCAAACTCGAAGGATGGTCTCCTGTCGACGAGCCCATGGAGAAGCTCACTTTAAACCCCGTAGAAGACAAGAAGAAACTCTCCAAGGCCGAGAGGAAGAAACTCGCAGCCGAGGCCTTCGCCAAGGCCGGCGGCGTCCCGAAACGTGAAAAATTGTCCAAGGCCGAGCGTCGCGCTCAGCAAGAAGCCAATAGGCAGAAAAAAGAGGCCAATAACGCTCCAAACAAGCCCAAAAAAACCGAGACTGCAGCTCCGACGCCCACTAACGTGCGTCTACAGTATGATGACGCCAAGAAGATAGCTCGTCGCTCCAAAGCTGCCGTCGTAGTGCGTACTCAGGCCCAGAAACAGGTGGAAATGTTCTCCCATTTGCCGCAATACGAGCGCGAGAGCTCCTTGTCCCTCAACGTGGGCTTCTCCAATAAGGAGGAGGTGCATTCCGCTGTGCTTGCGCTCGGTCTCAAGTACGCAGAGGGAAAAATATCGGGCGGAAATGCTCGCTGTATCGCAATGATCACCGCATTCCAGCAAGTGATCGACGACTATGTGACTCCGCAGGATAAACAACTGCGTCGCGACCTGGACAAGCGTCTACGTCCGTTAATTCAGTACCTTATCGACTGCAGACCGCACGGTATCGGCATGGGCAACGCCATCCGCCGACTGCGTCGCGTTATCGGCTCGACTCCCCCGGAACTCAGCGAGGAAGAAGCCAAGCGTCGTATCCGCGAGGAGATGGACGACTACGTGCAGAGCCGCATCTTGCTGGCCTCGCGTGCTGTGGTCAAGAACGCGCAGTCCAAGATCAGCGAAGGAGACGTCATCCTGACGTACGCGCGAGCCAATGTGGTGGAGGAATTGCTACTGGAAACAGCCAAGACGTCGCCCGAGATCGCTGCCAGTCTGCGGATTATCGTCGTGGACTCCCGTCCGCACTATGAAGGTCGCAAGATGGTCAGTGCACTCGCTAGTGCGGGTTTGCAGTGCACCTACCTGCAGATCAACGCGCTGTCGTACATTATGCGAGAAGTTACCAAGGTGTTCCTGGGAGCTGCAGCCTTTATGAGCAACGGTGTGGCTGTGGCTCGTGTGGGGACGGCCCTGGTGGCGATGACTGCGCACGAAGCCAATGTTCCCGTGCTGTTCTGCTGCGAGACGTACAAGTTCTCCGACCGCGTGCAGCTGGACGCCATCACGCACAACGAACTAGGAGATCCCGACGAGCTCGTGTCTTCGTACTGCATCGATAAGCCGCACTCTCGACGTCGTACTGGCGGCAGTGTCGGGAATGCGTCCAGTGGTGCCTCGAGCGGCCACATCTTGTCCGACTGGCGTGACTTGGCTGATCTGAAGCTGCTGAACCTCGTGTACGACGTGACTCCGATCGACTACGTGTCTATGGTGGTCACGGAGCTGGGTATGATCCCGCCTACTTCTATCCCTGCTGTGCTGCGTGAATATTCTCGTGATGGCGTCGTGGACGGAGCGCTGTAGGTAAGTCAAAGTTGAGGACACAGTCAATTCAGTGTCGTTTGATTTAGAGTTTACTGTTCGCCACGTTCAATGCTCTTCTGTTTCTTCTTGTCTTCGCGCTCCTGTTGAGCCCTACGACTCGCCGCAGCCTCGGAATCCTCCTCGTCGTCCTGCGTCATGAGCTGCGTACACACGTCCATCAGCTTGGGCTGGCGTAGTTCACGGAAGCGCAGAGACAACATATCGATCGCCGTCAGCACCTCCATCGGACTCTGATCGTCGTCACTAGTAGCTGACAGCACCGCCATCTTGGGATACCTCTGACTGAAGTGCGTGAGCAGCAGGTGACGCGCGTTGGCTTGCCGTCCGACCTGAATCGCCTCAGCCATGGTACAGTGCGCCTTGTCCTTGGCTTCTTTGGTCAACTCGTCCTCGAACGTGGCTTCGTGGACGATCAGGAACGCGCCTTTGGCCTTTGTCGCCAGCTTCTCACTCGGCCGACAGTCTCCAGAGAACGCCAGCTTGGCGCCGTCAGTGAACGTCAATACAACAGCGTACGACTGATGTGCGTGTTTGACCGGAACACACTCGAGCTGCGATATATTCAACGTCTCTCTCAGCCACACACGGACGCGAGCAGCTTCAGCATGGAATTCAACCTCTTCGCTGCGAGAGTCGCTCTCGTCGAAGCTGTAGTTCTCTACGAACGAGTATTTGCCACGCACCGTCGGGTCTTGAGTCGAGTATTCGTCCAGCCAGAACTGGAGCGGCGTAGGTCCGATGACCAGTAGCGGCTCCATGGTCGACACACGAGCGCTTAATAACCGTAGCAAACCGAGATGATGGTCAGCGTGGTTGTGCGAGATCCAGACGCACTTGAGACGATCCACCAGCTCCTGTAGACGCCTTCTATCACCTCCAGCGTAGCGATACATCTGTCCCAAGCTGCCTTCTCCACAGTCCAGCATCATCCCAGCCCACTCTTCGTCGTCTTTCCCTGTCGGGAGCTCTAGATACATGCCGGTGACGTTGCGATACTTGGACGGAATAGCGCACCCAGTGCCCAAAAACGTGATGCGACCGTCTACGAGGTCTTCATCCAGCTTCGAGGCTTCAGGCTCTTGAGCTGCGATATCTACTACACTCTCGCAGATCTCGTCGAAGTCCAGACGTGGCCAACAACTGGACGAGTCAAAGCCGCGACGAGCTTGAGGAGACAGAATGAACTTAAGCATACTCTCGCCTAGAGACAGCTTCGACGTGTCGGTGAGGTCCAATGAGGCGTCTAGAACACGTGAGAAAGGTTCGATTGGGTCGCGCAGTTCATGTGCTTCGTTGGACGGAAAAGCGTGGGGAAAGACAGCGTGTAGCTGAGCCTGGAGCTTGGCTGAAGCGCGATACACCGTCTTCTGTGCACAAGCGTCGTGTCCGAGCAGCACGTGACGTGCTTGAGCACCGAAACTGCGTGTCCACTCTGCATATTTCGGGTGACGCAGAACGTCGAGACTCCCGAGATGAAACACCACTTCCACCTGCACTTGATCCTTCCCCTCTGTCTCTTTGTATCTGTTGAAGCCTTCACTACTCACCAGTGCATCTACATGTGCAATAGTAGGGCAACTAACCACTACACAAGCCGCTGCGGGAGCCGATGGCAACACACAGTCACTCGACTTGACCACTTTGCCGTCGGGAAGTGTCACATCCTTGCCCTGGTGTAGTTGTCCGAATAATTTGCCTTTCGGTACACCTAACGCCTTTGCTTTCTCCACTAGAAATTTACCTCTTTGAGGTCTAGTCTCCACCACGTAGCTCACACTCACATGAGTTTCTTCACCTTCGGACGTTGGACTCTCGTTCAGTTTCCGCTTAGCTCCAGCCCGAGGCTTTGCTACGGCTACAGCGTGCACCACCACCTCGTCATCTTCATAGCAGCTTTTAACACCCTTCTCCTTATCTTCAGGGCTAATCGGAAGCACCTCTGATGCCTCCAGTTTGAACTCCGGGCGATACAAAAAGTGACGTGTAGCTTTCAAATACTGTTTAGTATTGGGCGGTCCGTGGACGTGTAGACCGGATTTACCCGTGTCCGAGACGGTGAGCACCATACCGGGGAGGCCTCCAACAGTATGAGACCGGAGTTCAGTCAGGAAAACGTGCTGCAGCTTGGCTAGACGTACGTGGTGCTCCATACACAGTCGCTGCGTGCCATCTCCGACGTTGAATAGGAAACTGCGCAGCCCACAGAACAGGGTTAGCGGAACTACATTGCACAGGCATGGGGAAGGGTGTCTATTAACGCACCGTCGCGTCTCCGTGGACAGAAGAAGGCTGGGGGCCGTCTCCACGGACTGCACGCTAAGCACCTGCACTTGCACGACCATATTGGCAAATGGCAGATCCAATGGCGTCGACTGTCAGATACTTATTGGAATAGTTAACTTAATATTTGAACATACAGAATTCCAGTATATTGGATAATTGTATGCGAGACATAACGAAATGTAAGTGTTGGTCTGTAGCCATTTCGCATACTTACTATTATAACGTTAGTTGAAGTTTAGCTGATCTAACCATAAGCTTCCCTCCTGCTCTGACGTGTCGTGGCTGCGAGCTCTGGCGCTATAGGAATCCGATTAAGGGAACCGGATCGACTGGATTGACGCTGCTTCTGGAAGCTCAAGACTCGCATCGTCACGGCCTCTTGAACCGGTAAATCGCCCGACGCATGCCTGCCTGGAAGTTGATCTACTCCGTTGAATGCAAAACTGCTCCCTGCGTAGAACGTTTAAGTCATTTTTACACACACAAAACCTAAATCAGAGATCTAAACGTACGAGCTTGTGGCTGCGGTAGAGCTCCCTTGAACGAGTCCAACTTGACGAGATTGTTGGTGCTGCTGCTTCGTCGGTGTGGAGACGGCGGCTGAGCTGTCACGACGAACGTGTTGGGTTTGTTTTCTTTAATATCACTCCTGTTATCCTCATCAGCAGACTGCTCGGCTACAAAAAGCTTGTCGACGGAAGGAGAGCTGTTCGGTATCATCGGAGCGACGACATCGCTGACCCGCTTGGACTTACTAGAGCGAAATCTTTCGCGTAAAATATCCTCGGCACGCGGTCGGAATTGCTGCTGAGCTGCAGTGGCTGTAAAGTCGATGAGCATGGCTGCTACGGGACATAGGAGAAGCAACGTCCAGTACCGTTGCAGTCCGATCATGAACATGGGTACACCGAACATGTCATAGCTCATGAACGTGAACTGAGGATACACCAGCAAGAAGAAGATAAATAGCCAAGTGCTGAAGACCATGACTGCGAGGTGGTACTTGTTCCAGTTCAACGCTAGCAGCGACACCTTGAGGTTCATAGTGCCCAGTAGAATTGTGTAGAACAGCGTACCAATCACGTATAACCCGTAGTTTGTGCGTTGATTACCAGCGTAACATCCGAAGAAACAGATCAGCGCGTGGCCTACGGAGTTCAGGATCGTCTTGGCAAAAACGCGCATATTCAAGTCACTGTCGTACTGACCACGACGATAAAGTTGCGGGAACCTTAACACCACATCTTCCGAAATATCTTGATCAAAGACACCAATTACAATAATCGGAAGTGCTAAGAAAAAATTCCAGCCGGCCATCACGAAGCTCTCGAATAGTGGAGCGCCGGATTGGCCATTGTAAAAATTGAATACGAATAGACTGATCACCAACGCGATGTTTTTGTAGAACGAGTAGCGGATCACCTTGCAGATGCGCTTATAGTTACATCGTCCGTGTAGTAAAACCAGTCGTGTTAGGAACGGAAACTGAGCGATTGCGTAGTCGCTGGCGTTTACAGCTTGCACACCTTCTTTCCCACATATTCCTACTCCAACGTGAGCTGTTTGGATCATACTCACATCGTTCGCGCCGTCTCCTATCGCTAAAGTGATCGGTTGTTCTCCTTTCTTTTCAAGGCCTTGGCGTCCACCCTTACGTACAAGTTGCACTATCTCTGCCTTTTGTGATGGGCTCACCCGACAAGCTATAAGAGCTTTACATACCTTAGCGATATCCAAGAGCTTGTGAGTCAGAACTTCAACACGTTCAATTGTTTGTGTCGACATTTTAGCTCTAGCGTCGCGTGACGGGAAAATGTGAACGAGAGCTTTACCATCACACACCATTGCGAGGTTATCAGCGACCGTATTCCCTCGAATAAGCCGCTGAATCTCGGGAGTCTCGTGGAGCGCGTCCAGTTGTGCACTCAACGCTTCCAGTCGCTCGGCATTAACGTATAACAACTGCATCTTGTCGTTAATTAGTCGACAAGCGTGGCCAATATTAATTGCAGTCTCTTCTCGATCTCCCGTTAGAACCCAGACTTTAATTCCAGCTTGAGCAAGGTCGAAGATAGCCGAGGGAACTCCCTCTTGTAGCTTATCCTCGATTGCAGTTACACCTAGAAGTTGCATATTTTTCTCGATCATCTCGGCACACGCGTCCAGTTTTGTTTCACGGTCTTCGAGTGCTGTTGACGCAGCCACGTATGCTTCATTGTAGTGTCTGTATTCTTCTGCTGTAAGCACTCGACGACCGAGAACAAGCGTGCGCAGTCCTTCCCGAGCGTAATTACGTAAATGTCCAATAAGCTTCCCGTGAATAGCAGTATCACTATCATTTTTCCCTGTTGCAGCGCGCTCCAGCATCATGTTGTCGGCGCCTTTGCAGTACAAAACATACTCTCGAGTCTCCTCGTTGATCGCCACGACGGACATCCGCTTACGAGTTGAGTTGAACTCGTTGACGTTCACAATCGTATAGGACTTAGTGACTGGTTCCAGTATCCTGTTAGAGTTGCAGTTAGAGTTAGGGAGTAAAGAGGCTTTACGGGAGATCTCGACCTTCATCAAGGGAGCTGGAGATTTAAAATTATATCCAAGACATTTGGCAGCCTTCACTAATGCTTCTTCATCAGGTGATGATGCACGATACACAACTTCCCTCGTCTTAGAGTCCGTCTCGGGAATTACCGTATGACAAATTGACAATAAGGTCAGAAATTCGTGAATAAGTTCTCCTTGTTTCCCACCGGCGTACAAAGCTCGTAACAATCCTGGATCATCAAAATGAATGTTGGGATCAAAGTGAACTTGCGCTTCTTTCGGATCACCTTCTACAATTTTCGTCACGGGATAAACAGGCGATGCTGAGGATACGCTATCCCGAACATCGTCAGTAGCGTCAATATCCAGCCGTACACCACTTGGAGCGTTGACAAGCGGATTCACCTTGGTTTTAGCAGGAGAAGCGGTTGGTTTCGAGGCTGTTGCTGCATCTAAACTCGCCAGAGCAGCCACAGCTCGACCGATCTCGGTAGTTCCAAAACCATACGATATCCCACCGATAGAGCATTTACGAAACTCCATAACGTTACAGGTTAGAGTACCCGTTTTGTCACTAAAGACATACTCGACTTGACCCAATTCTTCATTAAGTTCTGACGTCCTCGCCACGGCATGAACACCGTCGTATACCATATCTTCGTCTCCAGTGATTCGGTTCGCTTGTAGTACTTTAATGATGTCCAGCGACACGTATAGCGAGATGGGTACGAGGTTGTTATACAGGATAAGAAAAGTGAAGAAATTCACGATAAAGTCGTCCACTTGATCCGCTTCTTTAATAAATGGTAGATACCATAATCGACTCGCGCTGTTCTTGCTCCAGGATGCCGCAGCTATCGCACTGGCCAAGCAGAGACCAAACATTGTAGTGAAGATCAACAACATGCAGCGGTTCGCTGTGCGATACAATTTACTCTGCTTCGAGGGCGCTGCACGAGAATTTTGCAATAATTTGGTCTCGCTTCCTGTAAAAATCACAAGACCAACCACAAACGCGCAACTTCGAAGGCTACAGCCGCGTAAAAGCAGATTTTCTGGCCCCAAAGGCACTGCTGTCTCACCTCGATCACCTTCGCGTAGTATCAAGCGCCCTGTGAAGGTGTAGAGCTGGTTGTTCGGCTGTTCGTGCTCGACTGACCCACGCAGCCTCCGTACTGCTGCAGCACACACGGATTCTTGAGAGATAGGAGCTCCTTGCAGCTCTCGCCACCCAACGAGCTGTGCAGTGAGTTTGACAGCTATTCGACGCTTGAGATTTGTTTCTCCATCTAAGTTCGAAGTCTCGATAAAGCACCTTCCTTCCTCTTCAGAGGTAGCGAGAATCACCACGTCTGCTGGTAATTCCTCATGATTTTCCACACACACGAGCTGTCCGACCTGTAAATCCTGCCACGCTATCATCTCCGTCTGTCCTGCAGTATTGATAATCTAACGAAAAAGTTAATAAGAAGTAGTTTTCTTTAAAGTAAAAAAATAGACCGCGTACTCGACAGGAACGGTTATTCTGCTTTTCGTCTGCTTGATGGCGCTTATAGTCCTCGCTTCCCTGTTTCACCATCGTTACTAGAAGAACAAATAATAGCGGACCTGCCGTTGTGAACCGATTCGTCGGGGACCAGGGCGTCGCCAGCTACAGATGCCAAGAACGTTAACATTTCAGCATTTACTGCAATATCTTAGGGATTCTTACCTGTAACACCGCGATGAGGAGGAAGTAGACGTTGGCCACGACACGGAAGAACTCGAATATGGTCTTAGGCACGAAGCTCACTGCTGTATATTTGGACGTAACCATGACATTCCGCGCGTACTGCTTGAAAGTGATGAGCTGCTGATTGGCGCCGCTGTCGTTCAAGAAGACTACGCGGGGCTCTATCCCGGCCACCGCAGCCGAGGAGACGCCTACATTGCTTTTCATGGGCCGCACGTGCACGCGGCGGATCTCACCCTGTCGTGAGCGAGTCAATGCTGCTGATCGTGGCGCCAGCGCCGGGAAATGGGTCGAAAAACGGCAACTTTCAATTGATAAAAACCGACGGGCATCCACAGCTCCCTCCGACCCACTCCAAAAGATCACTTGAGATAATTTTTCAGCATTTTTTTTACTTGGAATTCAGGCTCACATTTAGCCTTGTGACCACAGAGTTCCGTTGTCCTTTTTAGACGTAACGGTTCGAGGACGTTCTTCCCACCGATTGGTTAAACATATGATTATCTGTATTTTAGTATTGACCGAGTTGAAGTTAATGTAGCCAACTTCGATCTAGTACTCGCACGACTTTGTTGCAGACTACTTACGGATTCTTGAGAAGACGCAAGCTGCGATCATGGGCATTACGATCTCCCAGCCTGCGGGTGGAGGCGAGTGTCATGACAGCCCGTTGGCAATCGCTGCTGTTGCAGAGATAACTCAGTGTGAGCGTGATATCTCTCATGCTTTGAAGATGACGATCTGCTAACTGTTGTCGTATTTGCAGTCACTTTGGTGAAACTGCAAGCGCTTCAAGCTATCTGGTGCTCTGGTTCGAGGGAGGAGGGGAATTTGGCGTCTCGAGAAGCAGATCTGAGCTGTGAGGAGTTCGAAGAAGCGCTCAATAGCGTCGGGTTTGCTGCGTCCGATCGAGCCATCTTTGATCGAATTTTTACATTATTGGATCGTACGGGTGATGAACGGATTCTCGCGTTTCAATTCCTCATTGGTGCAGCGGCGCTGCTCCGTGGATCTCTAGACGTGAAGCTTCAAGCTGCGCTGCAGTTTGCTAGCGACGCGGATAAGTCACTTGAGTTTGAACGAGGACTATCGCCTGAAGGACTCAACTTCGCGTTAACAACGCTAACTTCAGTCGCAGGTTTCTTTGGGGACCAACTCGTGACTGCAGCAGATGTGAGGCGAGTCGTAGACGACGTGTGCGGTACAGAAGGATGTTGCTCGTCCGAGGAACTTGTCAAGAGCCTTGAAGGACATTCGTTCGTACAGCAGTACGTATACTCCAATATCCACTAGTTGACGATAAATTCCGATTAAACTGTTAACCCACGTGCTTGCCGAACGTGTATTGACACCGTCGTCGCATCATTTCAGACCTTGTTGCTCTCTCTTTGTGCCTTGCTCGCTTGGCAGCTACCCGATCCATTGTACCAGGTCGTAGTACGAGTCCTCGAGTGGCATTTACAATCACCGTCACGTCTTCCTGAGCATTCGCTGCTATCTCTACGTCGTTCTCGTCTTGCCAGTTGTTGTTGCTGCTTCCATGGATAAAGCATCGATAGTTACCTTCTTCATCCAAAGACGCAGTGCAGCCATCTTCGCATGTACATCGAGATCTCGGCTTGTCTGTGCGAAAACGTGGTGGGGCAGTAGCAGATCGATCTCCATGAGACTCGAGATGCTCCGCAAATCGAGGACACAATCCCGTTTCATCGTCCTCGTCGATTTCTCGATCTCGACGAGGCCGCTTTGACGTAAGTGCTGCAAGTTTTGGTCGTGGTGAGGTAGCCACTGTCCGACCCTCAACGCCGTCCTCCAAAAGAGTTAAAGAAGGTTGAATAGCTCCCAATAGCATCCACTGTGGCCCTCGTGACGTTCTGTTAACTGGGTGTACCGTAGGAGTACGAGTTTGTGCTGTTCGAATCGGAGCGCTTTCCGATCTACTGAGCCCTTTGCCGAGTACCAGTTCGTGGTACTCATGCGGCAATGTTGTGAGATCAGATACACAGGATGGGGGCTCAAGAGGGACCATAGACGATGACACGGTAAGTATTAAAGGATCCGTCGATAACTCCGGGTCTGGGTCCTCTTGAGTCTTAGGAATTGATGCCACTGGGATCGTCACAATTGGACTTACTCGTAGTTTATCAGCTGGAGGAAGAGCTTTAGCGAGGTCGTCGTGCTCATTGTCGAATTCTGAATCCCATGGAGACACTGTGCCGTCGTTATCTCCGTCATCTGGAGCTTGTTTTCGCATTCTTTTAGGCATTTGCTTGCTCGAACTGCGTCTCCTACCTTCCCGGTTTAATGACAGCGAGCGTCCTTCAGCATTACGAGGCATTGGTACGTTCCTCGCAATAATCTCCGCTTGTAAACTTCCAGTCAGATACCCCGTAGTCTTGTAGCTATCACTTAAATCAAGTCCCTGGCTTGTACTATCATCAGCAGTAGTATTGCGTTGTTGACGTCCTTTGCTACCGCTGTAAGCTCCACTCCTGCCACCACCACTATCATCTAGTGGCTGTAATAATCTCTTCGATGGGGATACACTGTCATCAAATGTATAGAATGGTGTCGTCAGGTCTACTGGTAGTAACTCTGTCTTCTTTGAGACCAGGTTGTCCTTAGCTGGACTGTCGAAACCCAAACCGGTAATATACTCTCGTGGAGCTTGAGAACCGGATTCGTTGTCACTTACTCCTTGTTGACGCGGTTGATCACTTTCAGTTCGAATAGTCCATTTGCCTTGACCTCCACGATTAAGTTTTGAGGTTCCTGGGGTGCTAGGTGGGGCCACGTCAAGAGATGCAAGTCTCATGTTGTTTATGTTTACCGGGGGGCCATCAAACATGATTCCAGTGGGCTTCTTGTCGCCCTTTTGCTTTGCTTTAGATGAGGAAGACAGCATTGAGATTCGAGCACCAGTATCAACACTAGCAGTATCAACGCTGGCAAACGTAGCACCAGTCTTCAGTCCCGTTGTCGTCTTTAAGACGGGTGCCGAGCTTGTTAAACCGCCACTTTGAAGACTTGAGAGCCCATCAGAATTGATGCTACCAGTCCCGAGACTCGCCTTTAATGTATCGGGCGCTGTTGTGGATACTTTACCCGGCTTTCGCTGTCTCTGCTGCGGAGAACTTGCTTTGTGTTGAGTTGGGGCTGAGTAATTTGGGATAATAGTGCTGGTAGTATCTTCGACGGTAACTGGGGTACGCTGGGCAGAGCGCATGCGGTGCATGGCCACCAAAGTATTGTCATCTTCGCCTTCCATGTTAGTTGTGCTGATGCTTTCACGTACACTGGCCAATGGTGATGGTGCTTTCGCAGAGGACACTCTAGACTTTGCGCTTGATCCTCGCACAGTAGGGGTCTTTGGACTCTCCTTGCCGATGTCTAGAAGGCCTAACGCAGCGAAGTCACCAAGCGAAATAATACTCGCCCGTCGCTCTCTTGAGCGTGGTCTGTCTGGAACATCGTCGACGTCTGGAGCATTTTTAGGTATAGACGTATTGCTTGAGGTTCTGGGACGCATACTTGTCAATGCCTTGGTCGCTATGAACATCGAGTGGGTCGGAATCTTCGGAGATGGTAACGAGATTGGAGTATTCTCCTCTTCGCTATCATCCGTGTCACTTCCGGTCGATAACTCTTCATCATCTTCTACCTCTGAAAGCGAGTCATCCTCTGATGAAGATACTTCATCGTCAATACCCTTAATCTGCTTAAGCGAACGTAATATTCTCTTGCCTTGATCGTTTGGGTCTTGTTTGTTACGTCTTATGGCACTCACTCTCTGTAACAACGTTCGAAGGAATGCGATATACTCGTCCACATCGATAGTCTCACACCAGAGATCAGCGAGTTCGAAGACACTATCGAAGAAGTTGGCAAAGCTCATGACTGACTCGCCTTTACTATCTCGACTCCAGTCTTCTTTAATGGTTTTCTCCATACGACGAAGACGTCGTTTACTTGCATCAGGTTCCAAGCTCCGTCCAATACGTCGGAACAATGACGCGTACCCATGTTGGTCGATACAACCCATATCGTCACGAGGAAACTCGATAGACCAGAGCTGCTTAACAGCATCGATCACGTCTGGATGGTTGCGTAGACTGAAGCGCAGTGCCAATGCTTCTGGCGTGTAGTTGAGCAGTTCTTGAGCTTCATGTTCGCTGCGAGCTCGACTGTACAAGTCCTCAGTTAAAACCACTGGCCCGTCTTCCCAATTTTTCAACAACCCTCGAGCTTTGAGTAAAGCTTCTTCTTGTAAATGCTGGTACTTCTGTCTCTTGAGCGACTGGAGCCGAGCTGTTTTAATGGTAAAATTGAGCTTGAGCCATAAAACACTGGAAGATCTATGCTGACGTTCGACTGGAGGTTCCGTTAAGGATGGAGCTTTTGATCGACGACCTGCAGACTTCTTGGAGCGCTTCCTGTCCATGTCATCAACGTCCTAAAACTTTCACAATTGTTCCCAGCTATAAATATTAAGACGGCATGATGAATTTGAATAATATTCAAGCGTTTCCAGTTTAGATTATTCAGAATTTGCTCGTGGAATATGAACGACTAAAGCTCAGCTTCTAGTCTTACTGGACAAAGGAGAACGCGCTACGGCCGCCACTGTCCCGTCTCGAGATCGACGAAGTGATTGGAGACTGTTGCGCTTGTTTTGGAGCTCCGTAGATCCATGAGTTCCTAATCTCCTTCGGATTAGACGTCGGTGTGAGTTTCTGGAACGGCATGAGGTTTTCGTCCTCGCGATCAGACTTCGTGGCGCTGTTGCGGCGTCTCCACGAAGCCTGAACAGCTAGGGATACCTTGGGACTCAAGACCAGCGACGGTTTCGAGTTCTGGACCAGTAGTGCAGTGCTCTTGGACATGACGAGCTCCGGTTTGAACACCTTGTTCACTGCCAGTTTACCGGGCGACATCGACGGCTTGGACTTCGTTGTCTGAATAGGCTTGGGACTCTTCTGACGCTTGCCACCAAGTTGTACGTGTCGTACGTGTGGCTTCGGCGGGCTTTCCTTTGGAAGGAGCGCAGGATTTGTACCGTTCGAACGGATCAGCGACAGTAGCTTGCGTGCAGCTTCACGTGTCACCTGCTTGTATATGCCCGTGCGAAAGACTTCGAGCTGCTGCATAAGCGCCGGATTGGCTGCAAAGGCTGGGATAAATCGCCCAGCGAATGGCTTGATCTCCACTAGCATCTGCATCAGAATGACTGCCTTGGCGCGTATCTGCCACGAGCGCTGAGCACCGTCGTCTTGCAACCGCGCAGAGAACGCAGCCGTCACGTTGGCAGCGTCGAGACGAGGGATCTGAGCAAGGAGCCGCTGAACACTGTCAGCGTCCGGGATGCCGTGGATGCCACCGGGTGGAGTGCACAGGGCAATCAGCTTGGCCTCGTAGCTACAGACATTCACCGCAGTTTGGCCACAATCAATGCTGTCACCAAAGGCAAGGAAACAGCGTTAGCGAGCAGCGTTACGGTGATTGTAAGAAACAGACAGCGACCCACTTTTCGAGCTCGGCATCGGGAGTTAACCCCACCCAAGACTTGCGCACCGGCTTTGGGGGACTGGCAGCATGCCCTTCGTCCGGATCGTCGCGGGAGTTGATTTCCTCTTCGTTGTCAAGCAGCGCGCATCGCTTGTCCGGAGCGAAGTCCTGGTAGTCCCAGTCCTCACTAGAAGCACAAAAACACATGATCAGTCTGTGTACGTATTAGACCAGACGACCAAAGGCTAAGATTTACATTGCCTGCTCGACCTGGTGCAGGTACTTGTCCTTGAGCTCGTCCAAGAAGTGCATGGCCTCCTCCATTGTTGACGAAGCGGCTGTTGCTGTAGTTTGACTAGAAGCTGGTAGATTTCGAAATGACCGTCAGCAGCATCGAAGGAGCGAGCGCTTTCGCCGTTTCCGCCCAGTTCGCAGCCTCACTGGCATTCGTGACTCAATCCTATCCTATGGACCTTAGCTCGACAGCCTCCGATAAGACCACCAAGCCGTCTGATAATTTTGGCTCACCTCGCAAATCTGATAGGCTTCAGTGAACAATAATGGAAGTAAAATGGCTACATTTAAAACTACCTACGGCGACACGAATGGAGCGCTCTATCCTGCTAGCGCTAAGCGTCGATCCCCCTCCTGTACGTCCGTCTGTCCACCTGTGAGCATCTTTACTTCTTGGCATCGAGCTTGAGGTAGTCGTTGTCAAAGTGGTGCAGTCGCACGTAACCATCCTCAGCTCCAGACGCGTAGCTCTTACCATTAGGGTGGAAAGCGATGGTGTTAATGGGGCCGAAGTGGCCCTTAACACGGCCGAACTCCTCCTGGAAGACCATGTGGAAGAAACGGGCCTCGAACTTGCCCACTCGGCCAGACGTAGTAGTCACACTCATGGCCTCCTGGCCACCGCCAAGCACCACGTGCTCCTTGATAGGCGAGATGGCGGCCGAGTTAACGGGACGGTCTGTCTCGTACACCTTGAGCACCTTAAGCGTCTCAACGTCCAGCAGCTTGGCCGTGTTGTCCTTGGACGACGTGATGGCCAGCGTCTTGGTCTTATTAAAGGCCACGTTAGTGATCTCGCCCGTGTGAATGTCGTGGCTCTCAAGCAGTTGGCCAGTCGTGGGGTCAAACAACTTAATGGTACCGTCGCCGCCCGTGGTCATGATGGCCTTGTTGAGAGGCATCCAGTAGGCTCCAGTGATGCGGCCCTCGTGGCCATGGTTAGTGATGGTCAGCACGGGCTCGGCACTCTGGTTGGCCACGTCATCGGCCAATTCATAGACGTACACAGCGGCCGGCCGGTCCGAGAACTTGTCGGCAACGGACACGAAGTACTTGTCGCCCGTGCTGAAGTTCACGCTACGGGCCGGGCCAGTGTGAGGGAAGGAGAAGAGCTCTTCACCGGTCTGCACATCCCAGAGCTTGACGGTGGCGTCGGCCGCAGCCGTAAGCAGACGCTCCGAGTGGTAGCTCACGTCACAGGCCCACACGGCACCCGAGTGGCCAACATACGTGCCAATACGCTCGCCCGTGTCGCTGTACCAGAGGTTGGGCGTGTGATCCTTGGCACACGAGAAGAGGAGATCGCCCTCGCGGTTATACTTGATCATGGTCAGCGACCGCGAGTGGCCCTTGAGCAGGATCGGACGCATGGCGAAGGGGAGAAGAGGAAGAGGGCCTGGACACTTGCTAATGGAGAGGCTTCTGGCCACCAGTGGCACATAACCTAAGATTTGTCATACATGCGATAAGAAAGGTTTGAACATAATTGCTAAATTGTAATTTGGTCTGGACTAGATGGGACTAATTCGTTGATAACCGTACATTTAGGGACTCATAAAGATGCTGGTGCTGCGCCGTCGCTTGCTATCGCTGCAGCGCTCCACACGGGTGTTCTCTAGTGCTTCCGAGTCGCTGTCGCTGTCGCTGTCGCTCTCGCGCTTGTCGCACCAGAGTCGCGTGCAGTTTCAGGCGGGAGATGCGGCGCGTACTGAAGTGGAGATTGTGCCGGTTTTGAGCGCAGACGACTTTGCTCTGCGTGTCACCACAGCTTCAGACAGCTCTATAGACGTACAGAGTCTGTTCGATCTGCAAGAAGAGGCTGTTGAGGGTGCAGTTGGCGGTGCTGAGAGCGTCAAAGCGCTGCGTATCTCCAAGAAGAGCGTCGTGGACGCCAAACTGCAGCTTCTACTGCCACACACAGTAGATCTGAACTTGGCAGTGGCTAACGGCAGCGTCACACTCAAGGACAAAATTGAGGGAGACATCAAGGTGGTTTTAGGTCGCGGAGACATCGAAGTGAACAAAGTACGAGGCACCAACGTGAGCTTGAAGACCAATGGAGGGAAGATCGACGTGTTGGCGCTGGTGGAAGGCGAGAGGGTGAGGCTGGAGGCCAATGAAGGCGTCAAATGCAAACGTCTGATGGCTGGAAAAGCCGAGGTGAAGTTGGGCAAAGGAGAGGCCTCGGACTCGGAGTTTGGCGCGATCTACGCGTCGACATGCAACGTCGCGTCAACGAACCAGTCTGGACGATCAACGTTACGTGTGGGCAATATACATGGCTACCTGCGAGTGTCGAGTGAAGGGCTCAACAGTGTGGAAGTGGACAGCGTGACTGGAGCTCTGGAGGTGGAAGACAGCGGCGACAAATGCAACGTCGTAGCGCACTTTGACTCGTGGACTAACGACGCCTCCAGCAGTATCCTCGTGGGTGGAGATGTGCGTGTTTCGCTCCAACCAGCAGCAGCGATCGATGTGGAACTGCACGGCACGAAGGTCACAGTTGGTAAAGACTGTGAGTTTGTCAGTAGTGAGATGGATCAGCTGGATGAAGACTACGCTGTCTTTACTGGCGAGCTTCGTGCTCAAGACGGAGCCATCGCAGCGGTGTCGAGTTCTTCGGGTAAGATCAATATGGACAGCGCCAAGGACGATGCAATGCGCACATCATTCTTTATGAAAGAGAATGCCACCGACGACGAGGAAGCCAGGACCCCGAGACTGTTTGTCCACGCGCTTAGCGGTGAGGTGGCATTGGACCAACTCAACTGGATGGACAATATCAAGCGCAAGCACCTTAAGAGATGAGAAAGTTAAAGGCACAATGAATCGGTCTTGTCCACTGTGACTCTGTTCAAGAAGTTTCGTGCACTTATTGTATCACTGTAGTTGTTCAGGTGCTTTTTCCCATGATCTATATAGTATCTCGAAATGCATGAAAGCCCATACTTAGTGCTTTTAGCCATTTGCCCCAGATGAGTGGGTCTACAACCAGCAAAAGCTATTCAGGCCCGTTGCAAATTGTTGATCTCGATACCTTCCGGTGCTTCTGCATGTACGTGTTACATGTACACGTACCTGTTTTTCAATGGCTCCACGGGCAATGCTTAGGGATGTCGCCAAGTTTTTTCGGAGTGAATTCTACAGTAGGCGCTAGAGCTCTGCAAGACTAGGCGAAAATCAGGGTATTCGTGATTTGCGAAAAAAAAAAACTTGTACGAAGTAGCTTAGTTGATGATGGCAAATTGCAGTTTACGGTAAGCTCCCCCTTTGATATTATTGGCGATACATGCAGCGAAATACAGATCCTACGTACTCTGTGCATATTGACTGAATTGGGGGATCACATCCGTTTTCTCGCTGTGAACATGTATACATGATAGCCTTCAACGCCAAATTCAAGAGTTGATCGCGCGTCGAAAACAAGTGACCTACAGGTACATGCCGTCAGCTGCGTTGCTTGTGGCGAAGTGACATCAGTGGTGACTTCACCACAAAAGGTCCTGCGCACCGTAGCGGCACCTCAGAATGACGTAGCTGCCATGTTGGTCGGACGAAGGCACCTCACAGGGTACGACAGCAGCTGAGACCGCAATATGTACGTGCAATGACCACTGGTGATCGATATGATCTCAACAGGAGCACTTTGCCGTAAGTCGCTTTGCGCAAAGGACCGTAATCGGCCCATCATGCGTCCCATACTTTAAGTCGCTTCTGCCGCTTCTTGGGACACAGCGATATCAACTTGAAACATCAAGGCGTCTGCGACGGCAAGCGTGGGTACATTTTTGCCGCAAACAGCACCGCGATACACGCGCTATTAATAACAGCAGCACCGCGCTATGGTGACGGCAGGCAGAGCCTAGCACCAGGTGCACACATGCATGAATCTGCAGTCCGACCAATTCCGATTCGGGACGCTTGAAGCCAGTAGCGGTTGCGCGTGTTCGGGAGCGCAAACAGCTCCGTGTTACCTAATGGCGAGACATACCTTCGGTCCAGAGTGTTGGTCATCACTAATTCGGAGTAAAGCAATTCGGAGTACATGTAATACGCATTTGGACCTCGATTTTGATATTTGGCCCGCCGGAAAAACTCACACAACTACTTGTACGTCTAGCCACCGCTGTCCATCTGCTCAGCCTCGTTGTTGTCTCACTAATAGATTGGAGAAGTAAATTTGACAATTAACTGGCCGCAGCACCTCAGCCACAACATATTTTTTGGCGGCGTCCGTCAGCTGAGACTGCAGCTTGCCGGCTGGTGCTACATACCGCGGTAACGAGATGCCGACTGTGCACCTCTGGACATGTACAATGCCATACGGCACCGCGAGTATCGACTGTCCAAACGCAGTGTCAGCGTCAAGCTTACAAAAGCAAGTCGAATCTGGTTGCGACCCTTATTTAGGCCTTTCCTATATCTGGATCACATAATCTGCGACCGTGTCTCAGCATCTTGTCAAGAAATCCTTCGCAACTGCATATTCTATCCCTTTCGCCAGTGCCTCTACGCGTAATCTTCGGGCGCGTATCGCAGCTGGGCGGACGGAAATAGAAGGCGCCTCTGCACTCTGAGCCAGACTCTGGGCCTCGACGTCAGGAGCTGTCATTATCAAATTCGCTTCGAGCAACACACACCCACCCATAAAGACAGAGACACAATGGCCTTTGAAAGCACCGTGGAGATCACACGCGGCGGTGTGGAGACCAAGCAGGGCGCCCCGCAGCAGGAAACGCCCGTGGCCGACGACTCGTCGGCTATGACCTTCGCTATTCCGGCTCCTATCGCGTCAGTGCGCGCCAACATCGCGGCGTTCGAGGAGGACAGCATCCGCAAGCTGCTTACACGCTACGAGGGCGCTGACGTCTTGCCGAATGGCTGGCGCGAGGGCCCGAGCAACAAGGGCATCCAGGTCGTCTACGGCGAAGTGGCCGGCAAGGGCAGCGAATGGTACACCATGAAGACGACAGGCATGCTCCACGTGAGCGCCACCAAGGCTGCGCAGATTCTTATGCGCTGCGACATGGTGCCTAAATTCGACGAGATGACGAAGGAGGTTAAGACTATGGAGAAGCTCAGCGACGCCTCCGAGGTGCGTCGTGTGACGGCCAAGTCAGTCATGTTCACGGCGGCGCGCGACTTCTCTGTCGTGTCGACCTACCGTGAGGAAGCCAGTGGCCGCATCCTCATCGCCACACGCTCAGTCGAGTACGTGCCCGAACGCAAGGGCTACGTGCGCGCTACCATCCTGATCTCGGGCTACGTGGTAACGCCACACCCGACCAACCCCAACATGTGCGAGATGAGTGTGATTGCTCACATGGACCTGGGCGGCAACTTGCCGGCTATGGTTGTGCGTTACCTCGGTCTGTCCGCGCCCATTAAGCTCGTCGAGAAGATCCACGAGATCACTCTGCGGGCATAGAGCGCCGATGCGTAACTCTTCCTCCAGATTAAAACACAGTCAGATAGCATGTACCAATAGTAAGCTAACCATCAAGAACAACGTGGTTTTCCAAGTTTTATCGATTTTTTTGCCTTCTTGGGTGAGAGTCCTCCCCATCCAACCACAATAAGACTTCTCTGTACGCGTCGACACTGGTCGGAAGAAACCGCTCGAGAGACTGAACGGAAGCGTTCAACAAAACTGGCTGCCAACCCGCTCCTGGAGCGGCTCCATGGCGGCGCGCCTGGCGTTGACCGACCGATCCCAAGCAGCGGAGAAAAGCTCAAAGCCGACGCCGAAGACGACGCGTCTGTGAGCCACGAGAAGGGTGGAAGATGCAGCTTCGTCTCTGCTTGAAGAAGTTGACCGCCCGCAATCAGCTCGCCGCAGTTTACGCACGTTTTTTATGGGCGTGCAACACTGCAGCATCGGCTTCGATACCCGACTTGCTCATGGCACCGGTAACACTGGAAATCCTTCAATGGGAAAGCAGTTCGCCATGTCAGACTGACAGCGTAGCAAAGCCAGCGACTATTGTTTGGTGAGCCGTAGAGGCCATGCACTATACGGCTCACCAAACAATAGTCGCTGGCTTTTTGTCGAGACTCTCGACTCGAGAGTATTTGAAAAACTGAATTATGTTGCAGTCTATACGGCAAACAACACATCCAACGTATTATATGTAGTCGCATAGCAGTCGCCTACGGACTAACTTGACATGCGAGAGCAAGTGCATATTGGCTTAGCTGGATGACCAACCAAAAAGACGATACCTCACATACACACACTTGCAACTTAAGCTGAGTAAAATAGATCCGCTTCAACGTGGTAACCATTAGCAAGTTCAGCAGCCACACACGATCAGACCCCGAATACCTTAACGACTTGAAAGCACGAGTACGGAATACTTGACCAAAGCAATAACAGTAAGGGCTAACTACTTCAAAGTAGTTAAGATAGTTGCACATTACTTACTACTTAGAAATGAAGTAGTAAAGTGTGAGCAGTTGCAGTATTACTGTAGCAGTATCATATATAGTAGTGCCCGGGCTACTATACTAATCATTTCGAAGAGGGGGCTATTATTTGAGAGATTCTAAATGCGATGTCATATTTAGCTCATACCAAATTTGAAAAGCACGCCTTGCAGTCCCCGATTACTTGCCGAGGAGGTTCTGAAGATAACACGGGTGACCAGGATAGCTTATAGATATATTGATGGCAGCTCGCCAGATCTTTACGGTTGAAGATAGGTGTGATGCAGGGATTCCAGCAGGTAATTATTAGCTCCTGTTCAAGGGGCTTAGATATGGGCTCCAATTGATATTTCTTATCAATACCTAGCTCAATTCGTTCGTGAGCCTACACCACGCGTTCCTAATATAGATGGTCTTATTCAATCGAGCGTGAGATCTAATAAAAAAAAGCATTCCCAGTTGGAATCCTTTTTTTTCAATTCGATTCGTGCAGTTGCCGGCGACTAGGCGGATATCATTTGCACTACATCTACACATGCTTCATTGCACGCAATTCCGCATCTGTATTTGTAGCAAATGTTTATGAACTAGGAAAAATGGAAGCGGTGGCAAGATCTCATTAATCCTGCATCTAGCTAGGCAGAAGAAAAGTTCTTCCAATATAGGTGGGCTATAATCCAATGGATGCCACCTCGACGATCGCCAACTCGCTTTTATTTTATTTTTTTTCAGTACTGCATCGAATCTATTAGCAGAGCTCCTTCGTTGATGTACGGTCGGCTTAAACCTCACAATGTCTTCTGTAGCGTCCCATTCGTTCAAGCTTGTTCCAAGAAAATTGCCTAGACAGACCAGCTCAGGTTACGCCTCAGCTTTAGCATTTCAAGTGCGGGCGCCTCGGGGTAATACCAACGGTGGTTTACTGCATCTGTACAGCACATCTAGATAGGTCCAAACCGATATCTTCGACCTCTGTTCTGCGCTGTCAATTTTAATGTGCGACTGGCTTTCGACGTCAACAAGAGCGGATGCCCGACCTAGAAAGCGTCAGCGATTTGCATGTTCATACACCGGCGCGTCAGCGCACCGCGACTGACGTCATTTGAGAACGTAAAAGAACCCACTCGAGATGAATACTTGTTGTGGTGGCGGCACGAAAAGGGGCAAGGACGAACGCGATCTTTCATCATGTTGGCCCCTTTTGGGCATAATTCTCCGCATAACATTTCCAACAATACCATAAAACGCTATCGTCAATTTACGTATCCATACCATTTGTTGTATTTAAGCAGAGTCTAGCTCTCTAGCTGGGGTCAAGCTACTTGACCATCTTCAGCACGCAGTGTTTGGATGCATCTGACACTGAGGGGGTGACGATGCTTCGCGTTACTTCTCCATTTCACTTCAATCATGTAAAGTTGATGTAACTACAAATACCGAGTGAATCACGAAAAGCCGCATGCAATAACCACTTCATATCGCTACTTACGGATCTGCACCTTGCGATTCTGGTGGCATTGATTCACAAACAAAAACCCCGTCCGGACCGCAGGACCGACCGATCGATAGCCCTCTTCCGATGTTCCGCAAGCTCGCCGTGTCCGCCGCGTCCTCCGCCCGCGTGGGTGTGCGCCACCAGTCACACGTCGCCTCCGTGTCGATGACGGTGCCTGGTCTGTCGTCCGAGGTGCGTCACGATTGGACCAAGGAGGAGGTGCAGGCCATCTATGACCAGCCACTGCTGGAGCTTGTGTACAAGGCCGCCACCGTGCACCGCATGCACTTCGACCCGACAGAAGTGCAGCAGTGCACACTGTTGTCCATCAAGACTGGTGGCTGCACAGAGGACTGCAAATACTGCTCGCAGTCCTCCCGTCATAAGACATTTGTCAAGCCTGAGCCCACCAAGAAGGTGCAAGAGGTGGTGGAGATGGCGCGTCGTGCCAAGGCGGCGGGCAGCACGCGATTTTGCATGGGCTCAGCCTGGCGCGAAGTGGGCAAGAAGAACGCCTTCAGACACATTCTGGATATGGTGCGTCAGGTAAAAGACCTGGATCTCGAGGTCTGCTGTACGCTTGGCATGCTCACGGAGGAGCAGGCTGTGCAGCTCAAGGAGGCCGGGTTATCAGCCTACAACCACAACCTTGACACTAGTCGTGAGCACTATGCTAAGGTCATCACCACGCGCACATACGATGACCGTCTTAAGACGATCGAAAATGTGCGCAAGGCTGGCATCTCGGTCTGTTGCGGTGGCATTCTGGGTCTGGGCGAGGAGAAAATCGACCGTGTCGGTCTGCTGCACACGCTCGCGACTATGGATGAACACCCGGAGTCTGTGCCTGTGAACGCCCTTGTGTCCGTGGAAGGCACGCCGCTCTTCGACGAGGATATCCCTCCCGTCACGGCCTCCGATATGGCGCGTATGATCGCCACGGCGCGTATCCTGATGCCCAAGACCATGGTGCGTCTCAGCGCTGGTCGCATGTCCTTCACGGACGCTGAGCAGGGCATGATGTTCATGGCCGGCGCCAACTCGATCTTCAACGGCGACACGCTGCTGACCACGGCCAACCCGGCGTTCGAGAAGGACAAGCGGCTGTTCGAGAGCTTCGGGCTCAAGGGCAAACCGGCGTATCACCAGCACAAGTCCACGCCCTACATCGTCAAGGTAACGCACTCTGCACCTGCGGCGACCGAGGCTGTGGCATAAGTACTGTACCGATATGTGCGTCACGGAATACCGGTATGCGAGTCTGTAACCTGTAGCCTGTTAAGATTAAGCTGGGAGCATCAATACAGTATCACCGATTTTTTGACGCTCTTGTCGATGCAGAAATGAAATCTATATTATTCGCGTGTCGAGCCTCACGTTAGCCCGTCTTCTTGGCTTTCTTTGTGTGGTGTCGGGTTTTCTTGGTGACCGAGTTGCCGTTGGCAGGACGTTTTTTCTTGGGTTTCTCTTCCATCGTCTCGTCGCCGTCATCGTCTTTTGAATCGTCCTCGTCCGACTCGTCATCGGGGTACAGATCAGCCATGTCGTCCTCCTCTTCATCCTTCTTGTTCTTACCCTCAAGTTCCTCGTCCTCTTCATTGCCGCCACCTTCTCCTTCTTCCTCATCGTCCGAGTAGATAACTTGGCTGTTCTCAAACTCGAAGGCGTCGGCGTCAAAATCGCCGTTACCTTGCATTTCGTCATCGCCGTCGTCCTCGCTCTTGGAGACTTTGATCTTGACGTGCTGCTTCATGCGCTTGTAGCGCTTACCCTGCACGTGCTTCTCCACCTCCGACGGGATGCGGTTCAGGATGGTACCCGTGACGTTGCAGTACAGACTTTTAGGCAGCCTGCGATGCGGTACAATGTACGGCTCGTACTGCGAGTAGTCGTGGCAATACCAGTCACGAGCCTTGACGAACTTCTTGGACTTGAGGTGCTGCTCGATGACGTCGACGCGCGGCAGCATCTCGTGCTGCGTCAGCTGGCACTTGACACGCACGCGCTTGTTGTCGCCCTCGCCCGACTCCACGATCTCCAGGAACTCATGCTGCTTCAGAAGTTGTTGCACCGCGGGGTCCGCAATCGGAGACGCCATGATTGACACAATAATGAACCGAGGAGCTCCAGTCGATGCGGCAGGGCTGGTTTATGCTTAATTTAAGTTGTGTACATCATATTATGTTCACCACACCTTGCCCAAAACGTGAATTTTAGATACAGTCCTCATTTACAATCACGTAATACTACTACTACTAGTAGTATTTATTGTTCTCCACGTGGTTTCAGCGGTACATTTTCGTAGTCGTCGGTGCGCTGTTGACATCGCTTACAGGACAGATTTCGTTCCTATACATCAACGCTAAGTCAGTCGCATTGCGAAACACATTTGTATTCGATATTAATGGCTACACCAGAGCGCAGCTTCAGGCAGCTGCACGAGGGACAACCTCCGACGTAAACTACCTAGCCAGTCACTGTCCGTTCGTGACGTTCACCTCGCGGCCAGCGACCAGCAATTTAGTTGTTCTTGGCAAAGTCCACACCCTTCTTGATCTGAGCCTCGAGAGCCACAATCATCTCGTCGAAGTTAGCCTGCTCCACAGCGGACAGCTCGCCGAAGTGATGCACCTTCTCGACACCGTTGGGGCCGAGCGTCACGGGCGTGGAGAAGAAGGGCAGCTTAGTCACGTCGTTCTGCGTGTACGAGCACTCGACAACGTCCTTCTCGCCGTTCATTGCGTCCAGGAGGCGCGTAGTGAAGCGAGCACCGGCGTAGGCCATGGAGAGCGTGGCCGATCCCGTGCCGTTCTTGGCCTGCACGACCTCGTCACCTCCGAACTGGATGCGGTGGGTGAGCTTGGCAATGTCCTCGTCCGAGAACTTGGCGCCCTTCAGCTGCGACAGCAGCGGCAGGATGGTGGTGCCGGCGTGGCCGCCAATGACCTTAACGTTGGTCTCGCGTGGGTTCCAGTTCTGGTTGCCAGCCACGAAGGTGGCGGCACGGACAACGTCGAGCGTCGTGACACCAAACAGGCGCTTGGGGTCGTACACGCCGGCCTTCTTGAAGGTCTCGGCCACAATGGGCACCGTCGAGTTGACGGGGTTAGCGATGATGAGCATCATAGCCTCAGGGCAGTGCTTAGCGGCGGCCGCGGCCAGGGACTGCACGATGCCGGCGTTCGTGTTGAACAGGTCGTCACGGGTCATGCCGGGCTTACGCGGCACGCCGGCCGGGATGACCACGACGTCGGCGCCCTCGAGGGCCTCGCCGGCCTGCTCCATGCCCACGTGGCCCGTCACTTCGGCGCGCGTGTTGATGTGGCCAATGTCGGCGGCGACACCGGGGGTGTTAACCACATCGAAGAGGCTCAGGTGCTTAATGTGGTCGCAGTCCTTAAGCAGGAGCGACATGGGCTGGCCGATACCGCCGGCCGCACCGAGGACGGCCACCTTCTGCTGGCCAGGGGCCGACGAGTAGGCGCGACGCAGCGTGGCGACGGTGAGTGACGTGGCACGGTTGAACATCTTCTTGACTTGGGCTGGAGTCGGCGAATTAGGGAATGAGACCGTCGACAACGTACGTGTGGCGCTGCTGGCACGTGTACAGATCGGTCTATTTTATGTGAAGATCGGGAGGCTAAAGATACAAGTTGAAGTCGGTCGGTGGCGCGATGTTGCAGGAGGATTAGGAGCGGATCATAACCGGGGTCTGTACTGAATTTAACGGCGAACGTCGCGGTTATGGAAGATCGCTCCTTGCAGTTGATGATGGTTGAGGCGACACGTACGCGTGGGCAATGGCGATGCTGGCGGCGAGAACTTGCAGCAATGATCGAGAGATTCAATATGCACATTTATTGTCGGAAATGCGGCGGAGTTGGAGCTCTGCTTGGTCGCGTTCGGAATTTCCGTTACTCGGCGAGAGACGAGGCCTTTGGCATTTGACCGTCAGCCGCACCTTGCGCCTCAAGCTGATGCCTGCGTCGATAATGGATGAATGCTCACAGTAGACCGGCCCTTTTCTCGGTTGAAGGCGTGTTAAACAGTGCACCGGTGGCCCCAGGTTGTTAAGCTGCTTGCTTTGCGCGACGTTCCGGCGGAATGGTGTTCGGAACACCGGAACTTTGGATGCTGGGTCGACACCGCGAAATGAATTGCTGCGCCGGGCGACCGTCCTGATGGACGTCGGAATAGGACGATGGAAAGTTCAGCTTTGCTACTCGCGCTCGTGTGCAACTTCAGTTTCGATGCGATTTCTGAAGCACATGTTTCGACAATGGCATGTCTCCAAGCGGAGAACCGCGATACATGTACACGTATTGGCGCCTACTGGAGACCAATCAGCCGAGAAATATGTCGTTCAGCCAGACGACTTGTGGATCGCGGCTTCCATCGGGCATATCAAGGTCGAATAGTCCTCGAGAACTCATCAGCACAAACATTTGCACAAGAAAACGGCCTGCTAGTGCAGCGAGATCCACTCCAAATTGGTGTCTCCAATGCCAGGCATTTTAGGGCAATGAACACTATCCTGTGCAAAAATTGCAATATTTTTCGTTTCATTACAAAGTCCAAATATTGGAGGTCAATTTTTGGAGGGAAAGCATTTGATTGGGTGAGCCACTTCAACTTGTAGCGGCTGAAACTTCATTGGCATTATCGTGTTTACTACGACATTTGACCCTGTTACAGTTATTCTTCGCATTTACGCAGCCGACGCCAGAGTCTGGTTCCTTTTTCCTCGATAGAGGCCGCGCGCAACGCCCAGCCTAGCGGCAAAGCAATGGCCCCCATGCCAATACAGGCGCCCCATTGTGCAGCACTCAATGGGGCACAATGGAAGAGTTCTCCTCCAAGTTGCACGATAGCCCCTTGCAGGCCGCACTGGACGCACAGCGCAGCGATACTCAGTTTGTTCTTGCATAACTCCGTGAGTCGAAGCTTTGGCGTGTCGGTGACGCCCTGGCGACAGTTGAGCTGGTTGAAGAGCTGCAGCCACACGAACGTGTTGAACACGATGGTCAAGTGTTGGGTGGACTCCGAGTCATCGTCGTTAGTCACCGATGCACGGCCCGACGGTATGTCGAACCACTTGTCACCGAGAAATGTGAGCAAGAGCAGCAGAGTGAGCTGCATAACTGTCTGACCAGCGATGTGTTTGGCCATGCGTGGCGTTATAAGTGGTTTACTGCGTGCGTACGGCTGACGCTCGAGTAGTTTTGCTGCATTGGGCTCGTCTGTCGTGAGCACAAGCGACGCAAACACGTCCATGAAGAGGTTCACCCACAGAATCTGCACAGCAGCAATAGGAGACTGACGCAGAGTCACAGCTCCAACACAAGCCACACTCAACGCCACAGCGATGACTGTGATCTGGAACTGCAAGAACTGCGAGATGCTGTCGAAGACGCCGCGTCCAGACACAACAGCGCTTACTACGCCGGCGAGATCGTCGTCCATGAGCACGATGTCTGCCGCTTCCTTTGCCACAGATGTGCCGCTCTTTCGCATCGCAAAACCCACGTGTGCAGCCGGAAGTGCCGGCGCGTCGTTCGTGCCGTCTCCCGTCACAGCAACAAGTTGTGGCATTAGCTTTGACGCTCGTAGTCCAGTTACAAGCGTGTGCTTGTCCTGTGGCGAACTACGCGCAAGAACACGCAGTGACGGCCACACCTGATCGAAGATCTCTTGACGTAGTTGTCCGTGTGAATCGAGTACGAGCGCTCTGAAGTCCGGTCCTTCCATGACAGTGTACATCTCTTCCTTCTCCGAAGCCAGGATGCCACACTCACGTGCGATGGAGCGTGCAGTTAGTGCACTGTCACCCGTGACCATACGAACCACGATGCCTGCTTTCTGGCACGACGCTACAGCCTCACGCGTTCCTGGACGCAGCGGGTCTGCGATGGCTACAAGCGCTAGACAAACGAGCTGCTGTTCCAGACTCTCGAGTGAAGCGGAATCCACAGCCTCGCCAGTCATGTTACTGTCTCGATACGCTAAGCAGAGCGTACGATATCCACGTTTCGCGTACGCCGCCAGTACGTTCTTCTGTAGTCATTGACGGCGCTCGTTGGTCAGAGGGATTGTGCCACCTGAGCGGGTCTGTAACTCCTTACAACGCGCAAGAACCAGCTCTGGAGCTCCTTTAGTGTACGTACGCCATACATTCTCGCAGTTTCGACGCGGAGCAATCACAGACATGCGTTTGCGGTCGCTACTGAAGGGCAGAGCACGTCGAATGTTCGCGTTTGTACGTAATGTAGCGTAGTCGAATTCTCCATCACTGCAAGCTGCCGCGAAGGCCAAGAGAGCGCCCTCCGTCTGACTTCCCAGAGCTTTTCGTGGGGCATCTGTAGCATCACCCTCTGCAAGTGGAAGCAACTCAGCAGTCGAGTTCAGCGCCACACCTTCACAAAGAGTGTGGATCATAGCGTCATTCAATGCAGCCTTGACTGCATCCGCTGAGTTAAAGTCAACTGGAACAGTACTGTGTACATCGTCGATGAGACTCTTGAAGTCGCTCTCGTTATCAGGTGCAAGCCAGAGTCGTGCGACGCTCATCTGGTTCGCCGTAAGAGTCCCGGTCTTGTCAGCACACAGCGTGGTGGCGTTTCCAACAGTCTCACAGGCAGCCAAATGACGGACCAGACTGCGCCCACGCAGCATACGACGCACTGCCAGTGCCAGAGCGATAGCCACAGCCAACGGAAGACCTTCAGGGATGGCTACGACTAGGATAGTCGTCCCCAGAATGAAATAGGAGAGGTAATCGCGAAGGTAGGAAGCGTCCCAGGACTCACGAGGTTCCTGAACGAAAGTCTCGATGCTGAAACGCGTACAGAGAACGATGAAGATGAGACTCGCGACCACGACGCCCATTTTGCCCAGCCATAAGTTCAACGCTTCGATCTTCTGGGCCAATGGAGTGCGTTCAGGACGTGTCGGCTTCTTCTTTATCTTGGGCTTTGAGAGCTCCTTTGCCTCCACAACATCTATAGAGCAATAGTTTCCGTCTTGAATGGAAGCGCTTGATTGTTTAGTCTTCTTCTCGTCTTCGTCCCTCTCTTCGTCATCTTCAGCACCACCATTAATCAGAGCCGTGATCTGGCCGTACTGGGAATGCTCACCGACACACAACACTAGCATCTTGGCGAATCTTCCATCACTCTCGTGCCGGAATAAAGCCTGACTGGCAAAATCTCATCATCGGGGCTCTCTGAACTCTGCATTAGCATCGCGTCTCCCTTACGCATCAGCTCCGGTTCGCCTGTCAACGTACTCTCGTCCACCTTAAGCTCACGAGTGTTGAACGCGAGACCATCGGCAGGCACCACATCTCCAGGTTCTAGCTGCACGATATCACCCACCACAAGCGACCACTTGCGTACTCGCGATTCCCCTTTGTCTTGTGCTTCGGCGTTCACACCGTATCGAACTACACGCACCAGCTCGTTCTCATTCACAGCATTCAAGGCCCGGAACTGTCGCTCCTTCTGGAAATCTCCCACTGCAGTGATGGCCAACACGGCGACCAGCACGCACGTGCCCTTCCATCCAGTCCGTACTGGGGTTCCCTGGCCATACCGAGAGCAATAGCCACAATACCGTCCACTACCAGGATGAGGTTAATGGTATCCATAAATGCTGCCTCGGCCATGAGCCGAAGCAGACCACGCGCTGGGGGCGGCGCCACGTAATTAACGCCAAACCATTCAGCACGACGAGCTAAATCTCTGTTACGGTCGCTGGTATCCAGACCTTGTTCCAGATCAACATGCAGCGACCTCGCGAGTCCAAAAATGCCTCCTAGTCGCTCCAGTTGGGCTTGAAAGTCAAGACTTTCGCTCTCTTCAAAGTCCGAGGCTGCCACTGCGCTGGCAATGGTACCAGGCGAGGAAGCAGAAGAGGAGGAGGATATGGAACGCGGAGGAGGAATGGAGCGGTCCGGCCGCGCCAATAGGCGGCGCAAGTCCGTCGGCAGCAGCGAGAATGTGCTTGCAGCCCCGGCCACGGGCGATAGAGACAGTAGTGGGTTACCGTCCATCGGTGCACTTTTGAGAACGAGATCAATATTCGGAGTGAAAGCGATTTATCCTCTTGTAGTCTCTCAGGGCGCGGTCACCAACCACTGTTGACCTTATTGCATGCAACGAGCGAGCATAACGCAATACGAGATGCGATTTTCGCCTTTCCATCGCAAATTGCTATTGTGGGTTCTACTCCTGCCTGGCGAGCATGGGCCTTCCGAGGAGCATCTCAGCCATGGCAGAGCGGCGTCTCGCCTAGGCAGGACACCAGACACAGCCGTAGCAGTAAGATCTCCACCCCAGGAAACATCCTTCAAGGACTTATAGGCAGCTGGCTGGTACCAAGGATTGGAGGGACAGAAACTGCTCCTCAGAAGCGACAACAGCTGAAAACGGCCGCATGAATCAGCAGAGAGCTGGACGGAGGAAGGAGAATGGCATGTGAAACTAAGGGGGGCCGCTGCCAGACATGAGGATCACGAGAACGCCCGAAGAGGAGGCTTTCTGACCATCATACCAGTGGAACGACAATCCCGCGATCACAGATGAAACCGGAGCAACGTTGACGAGGAGGAAATACGACCGGATCAAGAGCTGCACGTTGGAGGAGCTCCACATAACGAGAAGGAGTGAGCGTCTGTATACGATGGGCATCCCATTCTCGGCGGAAACAGGACACAGCCAGCCGAAATTACGACGATGGGGCATCGCAATTCTGACTAGCATTCCCACATTGACGGTAGGCAGCACACTTCGTGTAGGAACAGTAGCGACTCTGCGGCATCCCCCGGAGCTTCGGAACAACTACACGTGGATAATCATCAACGCGCATCGAATCCGAGGGGTCAGCTCAACCAGCCCAGAAGAGTCGACATTCGAGCTGGAACAACAACCTAATGGGATTCACTGGATGATAAGCGAATCGACACAGGCAGATGCTACAACGAAGGCTGACATCGTTCAACTACAGCAGCACGAGTACACAGGCGCAATCGTCTTTCAAGCGCATCCGATGCTTCACGGCTTCCCATGGACGGTACCGGACTCGACGGCGAACCGGCATGTACTAGCTGCGATCAAGAAACAAGCCTTCAAAAGGTACTGCGGCGACGGCATCAAGCTGGATGCTACAGTAAATCATCTGCAACAAGCGGTACAGACGAGCACCTGGCAAGCAGCAGCCATGACTCAATCACCCAAGCAACTCTGGGCCCATACCAACGAGCTCACGGCGTATCAGGTTTGGGTCAGCTACCGGGTGGCGCTACGGCAGCTCAACCTCTATTACGACGGCCGGCAGCACGACAATAGCTGCCGCAAACTGCAATGCTGCCAAGGACATAAGGAGACACTTGAGCACATCATGTGGGACTGCCCCTGTGCTCAAGCATGCTGGCAAAAGCTGATCAGCCATTGGACCGGAGAGCAATGGAGCCTTCAGACGACGAAGAGATTCCAGGAAGCCTGCGCAAGCAGGAAAGCACCAGTACTGTCGCGAGTCATCAAGGCCCAACTAGGCCGAGATCATCCGGATGAAGAAACCCAGTATGCGAAGGAGTGGAAGCGAATGTGGCGGATTTTGTGTAGTATATGCATGACCAGCCTCTGGATACAGCGGAACCGGGTCGTCTTCCAGCAGGAAGAGATCACAGTAGATAGGAGCGTGCTTGAATTCTGGACGACGAGCCAGCAGCAACTACGAGGCATAGCCAAACGAGAACGAAGAAAACCAGAAACGATGGAAATCGGGACAAGACTCCTGTTATGCCAACGTCAGATGGAGAAAATACCCACAGAGAAGTCTCCAAAGGAGACAAGCCCCGTACAACCACCGGACCAGACCCTGGAACCGGCGTTGCTAGCTAGGCTTAGGATCAAACAGACATCTAGTCGTCGATAAGTGACCAAATAGAGAAGTCTGCCTCTCTCTCTCTCTCTCTCTCTATTGTGGGTTCTACTCAAAATTGGACAGGACGGTTCTTTGAATGAATCTCCCCCAAATCGCCCAGCGTATACAATTCCGTAAACTGATCCGTTTAAGTACGAAATAAGGTGGCAAGAAAAGACTTGGTGGGTTCTACTAATGACTTGGGTTTAGTATGTGGGCAATTGTTCTCCCGCTCCTCAAACAGACCCAAGTCGGCAAATTTGGACGGAATTCACAATACTACTACTGAAGTACTATTCAGTAGTAGTTTTAATAACGATTTTAACTATTACAGTAGTACATTATACATGCATAATATTTACAGGTATGTATCGAAATGCTTGTTAGACGGAATTTTTAGGACATTCCTAGGACACTCAAAAGCAATTATTTCAACCAATGAGGAGCAGGCCATGCTGAAGGGATGAACCAATCGTATCATTCGTGATTTTGCGGTCTGTTAGAGCGGCGGTGCAGTGCTACTACGGTGGTCCAACTCAGTTGACCGGATCTGCGCTTTCGACGTTGTGCAGTTCGATCAGGAATTGTGGAGATGCTCGCGCAACTGGTGAATATTTTAACTGCGTCTTCGTGGGTTGGATTGGCTTGCCACAGCCCGGTACGCTTTGCTTCACTTTCGATACTGGTCATGAGGTACCGCGCGTCACTGAGTCGCTTTTGAAGGTTCCTACTTGGCATATCACGTCCGTCTAGCATGCGCAACGGCGGCAACTTCTTGCTAGCGTTCCCACACATCCATGAGACCCACAAGGCAGCTACTGAGCAGTCAGGAAGCTGAAAATCAGGTGGAACACGACGAAATCGGCCACCCCAACAGAATGATGGTATTGAAGGAAGCTGATTGTCGTCTTCCACTGTTACAGTTGATTCGGTACCATTGCTTAGCTTTTCAGCAAGGTTTGTAAGCCCAGTTGATTGGAGACACTGTATGAGGGCTGGTTGTAGTCCATCATACGTTACTACACCAGCTCCAATTGCTCGCTTCTCAAGTTCGTCCATTATTCCCCTCACAGTAGCTACTCGTGATTCGTCGACGTGTTCAATTGTCTTCATACCTGTGTCTAGCAGTGTTTTTATCTTGCCGAGGATAGCTACATGATGTGGTATTCCTGTTGCTCGTAGTCGATTGCAGTCGCCTTTAACGCGCCACAATTTTGGAGTCAAATTCGAAATTATGCTCGGGTATTGATAAAGTATTGATTCCAATAAATAAGGGCGCTCAATCGAGAGATGCAATCGCAGGTAATGTGAATGGTACACTAGTGATGCTAGGCAAATCACCAACAAACTTGAGGTGATCAGGTAGTCCAGGAAATGTACACGATATCGCCCTTTCCAATAGAGAATTTTGTTCACCAAATGAGGTGCCAAAGCAGCAAATTCATGTCTACCAGGTGGTAAACCGGTGACTTTTCTACCAACATGTATGTCTCCGGCAGCTTCATACAGGAGGTAAGTGTTCTGGACTCCGCCTAGTGACCATCCTGCTCGAAAATGAACTGCTGTTGACGATGGGCAAGCCGTGGGTCCTGATGCACAGTAGGTAGCGGCGCCTTTGCGCATCGAATGCGTACCTAACTCGCCTTTATCAAGTCCACGACGTCGTAATTCTTGTGATACATCTTCAGATTCAAAAAGCCGATGCAAACATTTTCTAAAACGCTCGTACTGGTTATTTCCCGGAAAAAGTCGATCGGTGTCGTCAAAAGATGATGTTGCCCAAAAGATTGCTATCGCCAGCACCGGAAAGATAGAAGGCGTTAACGGGTTAGCGTAGCCGTGCCTGGGATCTCGTGGTCTGTTGCATTCGTGGTCATTTTTTGATGCGCAAAATAGATACAAAACGCATCCCCGCTCCACTCCATGCGCCCATGGCACATCAAATGCCAAGCAGTGATCACATATGTACGCGCACAAGCCATGTTCTTAGATGGATTCACGAGAAGTTTCTCACACAAGAAACTATACAGCTCGAATGATAAGGGATCCTTGCCAGTCTTTGCGCTAATCTCCCCTTGCGCAGCTGCTTTAGCCATCTGCCGCTTTAACCCCTTAAAATACTTGTGATGCTCTTTCTCCATTGTTGGTGGAATCCCCCCGCCCATAATCCCGATAGATATTGAAAAGCCCAGTTCTGTGTATGTTTAATGCTGCGTAGCTGAGGCAGCCTCCGTCTGGCTTCTCCAGCGTGAGCAGCCAAGCACCAAACACACAGGTCTGTACATCATCAAGTAATAGTGGGGGGTTCTCTGGGTTACGGTCGAGCACGGTCTTCAATCGCTTGCGAAGTTGCTTTACAGTGAGGCTTGATACATCGCCGAGTTTCTCCGCAAAGGTAGGTGGAATGTGGTGGGGTTTATAGCGAACCACCCATGCAATAAAGCGTCCATATGATTTTCGTACACCGCGCGAGACCGTGTGCTCACCCTGTCCCGCTGTATCTCCGTAACCTGCTCCTCGAGCACGTCAAAGTCGACTTCCGCCATGGTGGTGAGGCTTCTCTTATGTGACTGTCCAGCTTGATTACGGTGGCGATGCGGACAAGTGTCCTACGAACAAGTGAAAAGCGACGGTTTTCTGGCTCTATACTGAATCCTGTACTAAAACGGGCTTGCTGCGATTTTTATTTGGAAATCTAGGACCTAATGTCCGAGAAAAAGCCGTCTTCATATATACATGTCCTAAAAAATCTGGAGAATGTATTTTTCAGGATCTGAGGAATTGAATCGAACCAAACGCTAAAAAGGATTTTTACCCGTAGATTTGAATGGTGAAGCAGTGGCGGCAGCAGCGTTCGCCGTCTCCCAGGGGATGATATGGTTAATTTGAAGCGTGCTCTAGCAAGTTGGCTCTTTCGAATCTCTTAAAGACAAGAGCGCTTCTCGATTTGCCAAGGATGCCTCGACAGCAAGAAGCCATTTGGGATTTCTTTGAGAAATGCTCAAAGGGTGGATACAAGACCTCTAGAGCGAGGTGCCGCTACTGCAAAAAAAACCATGTCGGCGACAACGAAGAACATGAGGACACACCTCAGCAGCTGCGACGCTGTTCCTTCTCCACTTGGGCCACTAATGATCGGCGAGACACTCGAGTATGAAGAGGAGGAACGTCGTGCTTCCGGGACACAGGCTCTTATTACTCAATTGAACGCTAAGGTCTATCCGAGACGTAGCCGAGAAGAGCGTGAGGCACTCGATCTGAAGTTTGCAGCTACGAAACTGGGGCGGCCTTCAGCACCCAGCATGGCAAAGCTTTTTTTGATCTTATCAACAATCAATGGCCTCCTCCGAGTTTGTCTATGTTGTCGACGACACTGCTTGGTGAATGATACTGTTCGAGTATGGCGCAGATGGCCAAGGCATTGATCAAGGCACTGTCGGTTACACTTGGAGTAGACGGAGCGACGAATATCCTCTCTAGGAGCATGTCGAACGTGATTGCCCATGATCCCCGTCCGTGGTTTGTGGAGTACTTGCTAGCAGACCTGAAGAAAGACTCTGCCCCGGAAGTATTCAAGAAGATCGAAGCCACCATATCACGAATTCACGCATATCATCAAAAGGAAGTTGTATTTGGTTTGTTTCCGACAGTTGCAATATCATGCGATCCGTTCGAGTGTTGTTGATGTCCAAGAGAGTGGTTACCGTTGCATACGAATATGGGGCACATGCTCTTAACAACCTTTGCTCGGATCTTGTAAAGTTTCACAAAATAAAATCAACCGTGCGCAGGGTTTTATTCCTGAGCAATACTGTGAAGAACCAAGAGCTGCTGAACAAGATATACCCAGCGTTGTGTACTGAGCTTTCGGGGAAGCCATATGCGATGGTGTTATACTCCGCTTCACGTAGGAGTAGTGTCATTTACATGTTTGCTTGCCTGGCAAAAGTGAAAGAGCTATAACTGGCGTTACGACGGCTGTCATGAACGAGCGATCGAAGCGGGGCATCGATGAAACCTTCGTACTACCCGCTGGGTTCTCGGTTGTGGCAATGGATCCGAGTTTTTGGCAAGACGTCAATTGGTGTGTAAAGGTATTTGACCCAATCTGCAAGTGCATCGGAGTTTTGGAAAGCAACAGTGCAACGATGGCTACGGCATTTGCGTGCTTTGTATTCGCGCGCTTGTGTATCGTACAGCACTGTGATAATGAAGACAAAAAGTGGCCACTCAACCAGCTGCAGTATCGCTGGAATCGTAACAAGAGTCCGATTCACGCTCTCGCGTTCTACTGCGACCCTTTTTACCTTTCGCCTTGGATTCGTGCAGAAGTATGGATCGAGAGCTGTGCAGCTAGGAGGGGGCAACCTTCATACTCAGTGCTGATGTGCTGTGGGTATACTATACCCCTTAACAACCAACCCCAAACCACGGAGGCGAAGGCAGTTACTGAGTGCATGTACTTTGCTCACAAGAAGAGTCACTAGTCCAAGAGTGGTCTAGTATTGTAGCGTATCAACCTCAATTGGTTTGGACACAGACCCAAGGTATGTTCCCACTACTTTCAAGTCTTCTAGTGAAAGTGTACACAGCTCCGGGTTCGTCGGCTGGCGTTGAGCGCCAACACAAAGTAGCGAAATGTGGGGAAGTGGTTCTGCGAAAATTGCTGATCGCGGAGGTACTGCGCCCGAACTGCCGACTAACGGAGGGAGTACTCCGATCTTCCGTGAAGTTGTAATGCTCACCTTGTGTACCCGTCGGTTGGCCGATTCGCTCTTCGGGTGATCTCGGAAGCGACGCTTGGACTGGTTTCTTGGACTGTCTGGGTAGACAGCGGGACGTTTTGACAGCAGCGGGGATGCTTCTACTCGCTGTGTCGATTACGGTTTTGAGTTGTCGATCTTAAGGTATAATATCGCACTCTGTCGATCTTAGGGCGTAAGATCGGCGGTTTTGGGGGCCGATGTTGGTCTTGGCCTGGGGTATCTTAGGTCAGCAAATCGCCTCCCTTCCTTTACGCGCTTGCCGCTTCCTTTAGCGGTTGGTCTTGAGTGAGAGTTGGCGAGCGTCCTGGTCAAGCAATCCAGGCGCTCGAACTTCGATCTTGCGTA